AAGAAGCCATTGCTAGAGCCACTTACTGTCATTATTTTTGATGCCTTTGTACACGCAAACTTTGACATCCTTCAGGTGTTTCGCAATTTCATCCTCCCACTGGTGAAGAATCGAGCGAGGACAGACGATGAGCGTGCAGCCCGAGTCAATCGGATCGACCTTTGGCCAGCACCGCCCGCAAATGTAGGGAAAGTCATCCTCGTTCAGTTGGTAGCCAGAGCACTGAATGTGCTGGTAGTTGCCGCAGGAAAGGCACTTGATGAACTCCTCATTCAGATGGTACTTCTTCCGGAGTGAGCTCTCAATCATTTTACTAGTGGACAGTGGCTCTACCAGCGCAGTGCTTTCCATGCCACACGAACACTGCAAATAGCCTGCGAAAAAGTTGAACACAATGTTGATAGACTATAAAGCTATGAAACCGCACCCGAGTTGCTTACCCCATCGTGGATGTTCCGTCAATGAGAAGAGATTTTTGCGATTAAAGAAGTTGAATTTCGGCGGAATAGTTTCCTTTTTATTATGCAAAATGAGCGCCAGTGTCTCGACGGTCTTTCCAAGGCCCATCTCATCGGCGAGAATGCCGCCCAGTGAAGGCTTCAGTGCTTGGAGGTATTCAGTGTACACTGGTCCAGTGATAAAGTAACCGAAATTTCGATTGTAGTAGAGCTTCTCTTTGCTACCAAGAAGAATGGGCTGATCGACAAACACATTTTGGGCGTAGTTTTTTGGCGCAGAGTTATGCTTTTCTCGGTAAATCATCCATTTGACCTGTAAAGGATATTAAGTTGTTGAAATGAGTACGGCAAAAGAGTATTGCAGAAGCTTGTACAACACTTACCGCAGACTCCTGGTAGGTGCGAAGTGTGGGAATGAGCGCATCAATTGGCGGAAGAACGACACCATCAAAAACGCTGTTTTCCACCTGTTTCTCACAAACTCGTGAGTAAAACTTATCCACACTAATAGCAGGCTGCGTAGAAGAGCTTTCATATTTAGCCACTGTCGATTCAATACCGTACAAGTAGAACATCAGCTCAGTCACAAGTTTGTTTGGTTTGGGAAAATTATGCATGAGCAAGTAATAATTGTCATAAATGGTCTTCTTGGAAAGGTAAAAGTTAACAACCACCTGCGAAGTGACAAGCCCATGAAGAATTCTGACATCAACAAGCAGCGTCCTTCGAAAATGCAAACTTTTCTGTGTTTCGTAGAGCCATGAAGCAAACTTGAAAGACCATTTGAACTGGTGCTGTTTTGCACATTCTTTCTCGTCTGACTTGCTATCGAGAGTCGAATGGTAGATAATAGGCGGTGACGGCATTTCATCGGTATACTCGCCTACTTGAAGAATAAAAAAACCACCGTTTGAGGACGACAGAAAGTAGTTGTGGTGAACTGGACTGTTATCAGCTGTGTCTGTCACATCTCGGAGACCGGTAGCAAAGTGAAAGGTCTTTCGGGACACTAGGACAAAGTTAGGGGCTGATTTCGGGTGAAGCTTCAGCTGATCAATGCCGATGTACTGGTAGTCATCAATATTGGGAGACTCTCCCTGAAGAGCCAACTTCGGGAAGATATGCTCCTTCAGGTTTTTCAGGTGATTTTCACCGACTGTTGTTGGATTCAGCTTCTTCCGTTTGGGTGCCATGATTGCAATTGGATTCCTCCGCGGCTAGGCGGGATGGATGGATGGCTTGCAGAGCCTCCTCAGTTAAACGACTCAGCGAGTTGAAGGAGGCAGGAGGCAAGAGCAAAGTGAGCCAAGGGCGAGTATCGGGATGGCAAGGAAGGATCGTTCCTACCCTTGCCGAAATTCATGTTCTGCACGTGAGCAAACGATCGGCTTTCGTTTTGTTTTGCTTTTTGGATTCTAACACAAAGCTTCTTGTTTCCAAGTCGCAAAGTTGGTCTTGGTTAACTTTCACAGTGTTACAGAGAGCAGCACTGTGCAGCACGGCGGAAAGCGTAGCCGGTCCAACTTTGCGGCTCAGTAACAAAGACTGCTTTTAATAAAATGCAAAATTGACAGCTGTTTCTCCAGATGGCGCAGGAGCTTTTTTCCGCAACTTTTTTTCAGAATCGCAAATGTATAATGAGATAAAAGTAGAGAATACGGCTTTAATTATAATTAAACAGAGTTTGCTTTTATTTACAAAATTGCGAATATTTTCTCTGATTTTTAAAGCCAGTATTACAGAATGGAAAATCTGGTGCTCATGACGAGATTCAAGTCGCAGTGTTTATGAGACTTTTTCGTAAAGTTATAAGGTCGTAAGGTCTATTTACGTTTTACGACTTTGGTAGCCGGCTTAGAAGTGCCAGCTTGCAGCTTCTTAATATCCCAGTTATTGCTGGAAAGAAAGTAGAGTGCCTTGTCGTAGTTTCTTCCAGTCTGTGCCATCACTTTCTTGACCAGATCTGAAAAAGGAAAATACAGTTGCCAATTGTCAGGTTGAAAAAGAGTAAATATTACTATCAAAAACTCATGTACCTTCTTGAGGCCCATTAGCGCTGATCACCTCGTCAGTCTTGGTGTCCATGGCGTAGTAGTAGGTCCAGAAGGAGGCCGTCTTTTTGTACTCCTCTGGGAATTCCCTCATCTGTTTGAGAGCCTCAGGGTTGATACCACTGGCTGCAGAAGGTGAGCTAAGCAGCGCCTGAACGCTCATCATAGCCGTGCGCAGCGAGAATGCAGCACTCCACTTCTTCTGCAAAGTGTCCAGACAGATACCGCCCGACTCATCTGCAATCGGAAAAGGAGAACGTTTATCAGTAAGTGAAACATGGAAGAGTTGGATGGCGTGATAAGGTACAGATTGCTTACTGATATTGGGATGCCAGATTTTGGTGGTGAAAACCATCTTCGGAGACTTGAAAGGGTAGTTCTCCGAAATGCTAACCGTCAGGTGGAAGACGCCACCGTGATAAGGAGAATCCGGCGGCCCGTAAATACGTCCCTTTAACTCGAAGATGTCTTCATCACTAATGGGCTCAATGTGGTACATCGTTTGAGCCGCCGGATCCAGGTTGAATTGTTGGAGATCACGCTTGAGGCGTTTAGTTGCCAAGATCAACCCGCCGCCACTCATCGTTGGTGAGAAGGTTTCGTCTCAAGATGGTCTCAGCAGAAGTAATCTCACAAAGTGATCAAAACAGAGCACTCATGCCGTTTTTAAAACTCAAAACAGTGCCAAACAATGACAGCTGTTCGAAATGTGCCCGCTAGACGGCGCTGTGTTCATTCTTTTGATTTTATGGCGCCATTTTTATCTGGTGAAAACGCCCACTGGCTTAACTTTGGATAGTAATTTACACATATACACAAAAAACTTAATGAGCGCAAATGTAAATCAAAATATGTTTATCTCGTTGACTTTTCAGGCTCATACTTTGCTTCGAGCACCAAGTGAAGGTTCAATGTTTAAAGAAATCAAAGTTCAATCAAGATGTACTTTCAGCTAAGCTAAGCCATGCGATGATCTCTTAGCACCATCAACACTGTGCTGTTAACCATAGCAACAGGTGTCATATAGGGGAAATCGGCAATCAATCAATGTTTGCTCCCACTTGACAGCAGGGGAGACCAGCACTGAGACTGGCCGCTTATCACCGAGGTAATTGCCGCTTAATGATGGTGGTGGTGGCCAATACAATTGATGGAGACTGGTGAGCACGAGGAGAAGAATGATAATAATCGACAGTGGAGACTGTTCTGGTGGTGGTGATGGTGGTGGTCGTCGAGGTCTTCTCAATAGGCTGCAGTCACCGCCACCATAGTCCACAGTGGTCCCTGTCTGGCAACCCACAACCTAAAATATGTCTAACCAAAACAACAACAACAACAGCACCGGCATTCATCACTACCAGCATCATCAGCATCAGCAGCAGGAGGAAGGCTTGCTCCACTCAAACCACTCCTCCTCCTCTTCAAAAAGCACCGACCAGCGAATAATAACGCTGAACGAGCACGAACACTACGAGAAGGTGAAACACCTCGGCGATGGCGCTTTTAGTACCGTCTCCCTCTACCGAAAGGTGAACCGCCGCAGCGGCGAGTCGAAGCTGGTCGCCTTGAAGCGGCTGAACATCGAGTCGGCTGCGGCCGGCGAGCCGTCGAGTCGGAAGCAGCTGGAGCAGGCGGTCAACGAGGTGCGCATCCTCGCCATTCTCTCCCACGAGAACATCATCACCTACTACGGCAGCTTCACCCTGGGCAGTCGCGCCTTCTACATCGAAACGGAGTACGCTGACGGAGGGACGCTGGCCGACTTCCTCGCCTCGCTGCCGGCGCCGCTGGAGGAGCNGCTTGAGGCGTTTAGTTGCCAAGATCAACCCGCCGCCACTCATCGTTGGTTAGAAGATTTTGTCTCAAGATGGTCTCAGCAGAAGTACGCTCACAAAGTGATCAAAACAGAGCACTCATGCCGTTTTTTAAACTCAAAACAGTGCCAAACAGTGACAGCTGTTCGAAATGTGCCCGTTAGACGGCGCTGTGTTAATTCTTTTGATTTTATGGCGCCATTTTTATCTGGTGAA